GTGTTGTCGTTTTTTCTATTTCATACATTTTCGTTGCACCTACATTCGTTTCTTAGACAGAGAAGTTACAACATAAAACCGTGATTGTCAGGCAAATGCACATACATGAAGATCACGGTGTCGGGACAGAAACCCTGACAAGGGTATCTGCCCTGTATTTTCAATATCCGACGATGCCCGAATTCTGAAGTAAGTTGTTGTTTTGAAAAAATTTGGTCTGATGAAATAGAAATAATGCTGGAATATTCCAACTCGTCCGCGATTTGAATAAAATTTAAAATATTATGCAGCCGTTTACCTGCCTACAAACATAACGGCAAGGGTAAACGGTGTAACCGGATACCCTATCGGGGCAGAAATCCTGATAAGGGTATTTGCCTGGAACTTTTCATGTCGGACAATTGTCCGACCGATGATGAATTTTAGTTTAAATGACCTGACTTGACGAGGTTGAGGTATCTGCCAAAGTTTAATTCAGACCTGACCTATGACCGAGAGACTAAAAGTTTTCAATCTTTAGTTCAGACGCGTGTGGCATCCGGAGTAACGAGAATGAATGGTCATGCCCCACTTTTTTAGCAGCCGCGCGGTTCAGGTTTTAAGTAGGCTAAAAAGAGTGGTCGCGCTAGATGTTGGGCCGCGACACAAATGAAATAAGAGGCCGGGCAGCGAGGTCTATTCCGTACGGAGGACCGGATACCGCTTCGCGGCCGGCCGCGGGCCGCCTAGCCAAGCCGCAGAATTGGGCCGCCTACCGAGTTGACAGGCGACGCGGCTAGAGGTGAGGCAGGCTGAGCCTGCCCAACTATAACAGGTGGACCTACAGGAAGGCAACTGCGGGCTTAGCTCCCGTGATAGGAGCTAGCCCAGTAGGTACCACCATCTGACTTTCACCCTGCTGATTTAGGGATCGAAACAAACGACCGGCGATTGGCTAGCTCCTTTTGTTAGGGGCAGCCCATTGCAGAGCAATATGGCGCGACCGATTTCGGCCGCACGATCGTAGGAGACCATACGGCGAAAATCCGCCGCACGAGATTAGCATGGCCCCTACGCAAGGATGACACGCATTAGATGAGAAATGATTTAATTAAAAAAAAAAAAAAGTCCCTAAGGACTTGAACTCCCGTCTGTATTTCATCAGTTCGTGGGTATACCACGAACAGGGCATAACCGTTGGCAAAGCCAATAAACAGACAGCGCCACATGACGCTTGAAGATGGCTGGGGACTACAGTGCCCAAGGAAGACAGCAGGCGCCCGTCGAAAACGGGCCACCGTTTTTAGGTAAGTTCATTTTTTTTTATTTTTTTTTTTAAAGATTTACTCCTAGATTTATTTTTTTTAGATTCGTTTGTTTTATTCTTCTCTTTTAGATTCTCTATTTTTTTGCGAGCTACTGGAAATGCCCGTTCGTCGAAAACGAACGGGCAGTGTCAAGACTGTTTCGTTGGAGTTTCACCAACTCGTCAACGGGTTACGACCCCGACAGTCTAACTCGGCGCCCGGACCTGACGCCGATAACATCTACGTACGGGCACACACACACACACACAGAGCGAGCGAGCGAGCGCGCGCGCGCGCGCGCGCGCGCGCGCGCGAGAGAGAGAGAGAGAGAGAGAGAGAGAGAGAGAGAGAGAGAGGAAGGAAACGCCAAACCACCTGCAACACACCCCACATGACATTCGCGGCCCGAACGACCGAACGCATCCCCAAGGGGTCCCATACGTTTGAGCGCTCGGGTTTGGCCGTTCGGCCTGTCCCGAACGCCGGTCACCCTGTATATGTATATATATACAGGGTTGCCAGCGCTCGGGACGGGCCGAACGCCCGAACGTACGGGACCCCTTCGGAAGGCGTTCGACCGTTCGGGCCGAATGCGGAAAAAAAAA